CTAAACAATTAATTTGGACAATATTTTTTTAAAAGATTTTTGGTGTGGGAAGTGAAAAATATGACTAAGTATTTATTTTTTTTAAAATCTGAAATTTTTTATTTTCGATTTTTTTTATTTTTTATTTTTGTTGCTGACGTCATCGCTGATGTCAGCCCCCCGAGTTTTGGATCTGGGGCTGGACCTGCCCTCGGGCCAGCCTGACTTCGTGGCCCCCACAAGCAACTCGAGCTAACCCTTGCTGCTGGAGGCCCTTTTTCTCCCAAACCCCCCCTAGCCTCAGTCCAAAACCCTCTGCTGGACTTGCTCTTAGTTGTTATTGGTAAAAATGACAATGATTTCTGATTTCTTGAAGTATCTATGATGTGTGTGTGCTGAAATAATGTTGGAGAAATATGGTGAACACGCTGCTGCAATCACTTTGCTCAATCTCCACCCTGATTTGTACCATTCTCCACCAAACATGTTGGCATGATTTAACTGCACTGAATCATGCTGTGCTCAGAAGGGCTTGGGCTTGCAGATAATCCATCTAAACTGGTAGTTGATTGAAAGAGTCAAAAGTTAATGACTGCTAAATTTGGGTAGAAATCTAACCCCAGGAGGATTATACACTCCACAATAATTCTCTTTTTTGGTACGCATTTTGGTTCATAGGAACAGAATCCACTATAAAATTTATCATAAAGTTATAAAGTTATTTTGCCACTATATTTAATTGAGAGATTGCAGACACTCTGCAACCTGTGTAGAGTTAGGGCAACTGAAGTGGAAATTAAGTTGAGCATGTTGCAAGATTGTTAAAATGTACCAATCTGAAGAAGAAAGCTAAAATAAAGGTCACTAGAAGCGAATCCATGTGGAAACTTAAAACGGCTTTAGCAGGTGATAGCATAACTGAAGACATTGCAAGGGCATGAGGAAACGCCAACTTCGCTCTTGCATAGTTGCTCTTCTCCAGTTTAAAATTCAAGAAAGAAAGCATTGATATTGAGCTTGAACATATCTGCAATGAATGTTGGTCTTTTATCCAATTTGTAAATAACTTTTTTTTTGGGTACACATGTTTGGAATCAATGTGGGTAGGTGAAGCCTAACTCAGTCATGTGTTTAATCTATTTAGTCTTTTTGGAAATAGAGTTTCTTTCAATTATAGGTTTCAATAATGGAATTAAGATTATCCATTAGTGCTCTTTGTTACCATGCTCATCCATGTGCATGCATGTGAGATGCCAAGACTTTCTTAATTAGGTAGGTTTACTGCTTCGTTTGATATGCCATGTTACTCAGCTGATCTCTTCGGGTATGTTCTAAATACCATTTGACTCTTTGAGCTTGAAATATTCTGATTTGCGTGCTTGAATTGGCATGCTTTCTTCCTTCGAGAGTGTCTGATGATCAGTATAAATTAGATAAGCAGGGGACAAATCTTCTCTGAGATTGAATTGAAGCCTTATCTCTGAAATTATGACAAAGTCATGTCTTTGTCTCCCAACAAAGAGGCTGAATTTTCAAATTAAGAAATTCAGTTACCTTTTTCAGTTTTTCAATAACTAATGCAAGAGTAAACTATTTGAAAACAGATGCTGATCTGTATGAGCGTTATCCTGCTATAATCCAGAATAGCCTAGCTTTCCATGAGACATCAATAACATGTGGTCTTACTTCTAGATCAGCACATACATAAGCTAGTTTTGTGGTATTCACCCACTGTCTCTGTGACCCTCTGGTGAGCCAAACTTATAATGTTTGACAAGTTCTATAGACTGGCATTGTGGAACTCCACCTCATGAACATGAGGGACACCTCATTAAATGTGAGATATATCAACTCATCTTTGATTTGCACCACAGATTTCTCAGGTGCACAGGAAAACCGCCGAGTATCTGGCATTTCAACACCTGAAAAATTAGTACGGGTTGTTTCTTCTGTTGGCAATCAAACAACTGTATTTTACGTCCTTTCTATGCTATTTCCAATTTCATGCACATGAGAAGATAGATTCTTGGACCTTTTTCTGACTCTTGTGTCTTGTGTTTTTCGTGTACAATGTCCAGTTTCCTCTTTGCTTTCTTCCCCCGTCTTTTATTCATGTAAGTTTATGTTTGCGGGGGCCACTTAGTATGAATAATGTTACTCTTGTGTTTCATGTTAGTTGTAAATTTACAATCTATTGCCCTATCCTTCTAGATGAAAAATCTGCGTCCATGTGTTTGGTCTGGTCAGGAAATCAGCTTCCCATTTTACACGTCTAATTTTAACTAAGGTTTTTGAAACTTGCTGTTTGACGTTTTTCATGTTTAGGATATGGAACAGAGTTAACTCATTTTTATTATTCCTTGAAAGGTCATGGTTGCCAAGTTAAGATCTGACCATTGTGTTCATATGTTAGATAGACACTCTTTGGCATTTCTTGGCACATTTTTCAAAGAGAAATCGACATCATGTGGCCAGTGGACATGCTTGTCCTTTGCAATGCTGAATTTTGGGTGATCGAAATTTTTATTTGATTTGATTATTGAATGGCTGATGAAATCTTGCAAATATCACATGTTAAAGCATGTTTTTTGTTTGTAGTAGGAACAAAAGTGTGTTGTTCTGGTTCCTCTTCATGTCTTGGAATAGAATTGAACTATCATATCAAACAAGAGGTATATTATTTCTTGGCTACGGTGAAAATTACATTATTTGTAAAGTACTCTCTTCTTGGAGCATTTGGATGAGAGTTTGAAGGTGGAATTTGGGGTTGGTGAGGGACTTAAAATCGCATACTATTGTAGAAAAAACATAAGAAATGATTATCAATTAAAAGAGAGATCTTACAAATATCATAAAATACCCCTTTACATACGAGTGATTCTTGGGGCAGCCCTCTACAAGAATTACACCTTATGTAGGTACTATTTTCAAATTCCAAACCAATGAAATTTTTAGATGCAAGTGGCCATCGCTACCATTATCGTCAACATCACCTCCAACACGACCCCCCAACATTACCAACACCGTCATTGTCGCTGCCACCGCTCCACCACTAACACCTCCTTACAATCGTCATTGTCATTGCCACACCACTGTTATACGTCACAACCACTTACCACTCCCACCACCGCCATCGCTTTCGTTGAAGAAAACAATATAAATACTCTAATAGATTTACATAATACAAAAGAAAATACTAACAAATATAAATTTAAGGATAAAACTTGTATTAATTTTGTGCTCATCAGCCACCGTCACTACCACCATGGTGGTTGTAACTGTCATCCCCCTTACTTATACAAACAATTCAGCCTCATTACTTTACATAGGGTAATCCGATAAAAGAAATTACAAGTTTTGAAATTTTAATTATTTTATCCAAAATCTGGGGTTTAAATGTTCAAACCTTTTTGATGTGACTAGTTTGGAGAAGATTGGTCAAATCAGTATCTTGTTGGTACACACATTTTATTGTGTATATTTAAAAAAGCAAAAGTCTCACGCAAGCCATAAGACAACATCACCAGAAAAACAACTCAATTAGGTTAAACATCATTGTCTCTCAAGCTCTAGAGTTCCTTAGGAACCGTTTGGTATCCTATTTGCAAAATCTTTGATTTTTTTGAAAAATAAGGAGTTCTTAAATCTATTTTTAATATTCAAAAACTTGTTTGGTATGCAACTTGAAAACTGTTTTCAAATCTTAAAAATTAGAGAACTTGTGAGTTGTTAGAAAAAAACTGAAAAAACATATATTTTTTGTTTTTAATAATTGGGGTGTTTTTTAGTTGTTATTGAGTTTGAGTTTTTAAAAATAGAGCTATCAAACAGGTTTTCTTTGTTTGGACTTAAATTCTACTTTTGAGTTTAAAAAGTTGGATTCAAGTTGAATACCAAACAGACCCTTAAATTTCTAACATTTTCCCAGCAGTGGTTCCTATTAAACGCATCCACGTAGGCCACAATGTTGTGCTTTGGCACTGCCCCACGTGGATTTCTAGTGTGCACACCCTATTTATCCATGCACACAGTTTGCCTTGCCTTGCCTTGTGACTTGTTAGGTTAAATGGGGCCAGACCTAATGGCAGGACAAGAGGGGTCCTAGGCCCCTACTCAACTCTGTCTCTCTCTCTCAAGCCATTTTACTCTTCTTTTTTTCTCCCTCTCTCCCCCTCTCTATCTCTAAATAATTTAATATTATGTGTATGAATTGAATAGAATATTGAAAGAGGATACAAGGGTTTTTTTATATACACCAATCAGAATGTGATGCGTAAAAGTTGTAATTTAAAGCTTATTTCTTGATTTTTACTTTAGGAGATATTGGTCTAGAGGTCTGAAAATTTTCAAGAAGCTCTACGAGAACCTGTAGTATTCCTTTATTTTTATATATATTTTGCAAAAGGGCCCCCTCTAACATCAATTTCTGACTCTGCCGCTGGCCATACCTCTTCCACAGCAGAGAGAGCAGCAGAAGAAAAATCTAAGAAGCTGAAAGTTACTTCATTAATATTCAAAACCACACACATTTGATCTTCCTTTCTGATCCTTTGTTATTCACACATTCCACAGAAGAAAAAGAAAAATCGGCATCTTCATTTCATCTTGAAAATTTTCATTTCCTTGCATTGCTAGTTTCTGCACAAAACCCATTTCATTTCTATCACACATTACATTCACAGTTTGACACTGACATTTTGATCCTACGCTAACAAACTGGACAAAATCCACGTACCCAAGAGACGTAGAAGATACATAGGATTCCCAACGACAAATTCGAAAAGAAAAACACCATGGAACGAAATTTAAAAGAGAAAAGAACTCGATGGGGTATGCTTGCTTTTGGCCCCATTGGAGAAGTTTGTGTCGTCGTCAAGAACCCAAAAATTAGCTTCGCTTAGCTTCATGTTCAACTCACAATCTTGCTCCTTGGGACTACTGTTATTGGTAATCCCTGTTTGGGTACTGGGAAGGGGCCATATTGTATCCCATCCTCATCTCCTGTCACGTGCCACCTGATCAATGCCAATCATACAAAAATTAGCCAAAATAAAAGCTTATATGTATATACCGCTATCAATTTTGCCAGGGTCAGTCATCCGAGGCACGCATGTGACTATGAGTCGTTCGTACACTATGAGACTCACATGCATCAACAGATTATAGATCATCCATATACATGGGCAACTGAGCTTAGCATTCCTCATTCTGATACCAAAAAGAAAAATCTACAGAAGCCATCAACCACTTGGTTGGTAGCAATCACATTGCCAAATATCACGGTTATAATCAATAACAATGTCAAACTTTTAGTTTGCTTAGCCAGAACCCAACAAAAGTAGTGTAGTAGCTAATGATGCTAACAAAAGCATGAGGCTATAAGGATATATATATATATATGTAGTTGATGTAGACAACTTGTGATGTTGTGGTGTAAAACATGCAGAAGAGAGAGTTGTGGTGTAAAACATGCAGAAGAGAGAGCTGTGGTGACCACCATGTCTACAGCTGGCAAACCAAATATGTTTCATAGCCATTCCGTCTAGACTGAGCACACAGCTGGCTAATTGTCTGTCTCAGTATGATGTTTTCGAATGGAATAGCATATACGGAAATATTCTCTTATTCGGCAGTCAGATTAACTAAACTCTCCAAGTTTGATTGATTACATGCAATTAAACTCTCGATGTGAAATATTATGAATAGAATTGGTAAAATTGTAGAGGCTAATGACTCATGTAAGGCCTAGCCAGCTGATGAGACTAGAGATTTGGGAAAAAAGGGTGGGATTGGGAGAGCCGTCTCACAATCTAATATCACTAAAAGGGTTGTCTCTGTCTGTCTTGATGATAGTTGATTAGGGTTAAGGGCAGGTCCTACATGTACGAAAAAAATTGATGGATGTGTACTAGAAAGTTGACCAAAGAAAAAGGCTTTTGATCCTCGTACAGACAAAATTGTATAGGCTTTACACAAAACTGTATACGTATTATTGATTCTGTTGAGTTTGTTACTCATGACATAAAATGAACTGTCTAGATATCCCTTTGTGCAAGGTTTACATGCGTAAATTGGTATAAAGAAAAATATTTTAATCTACTGGTTGAAATCTTAATCAAAAGACTACGTACATATATGTATGTATGTCTGTATATACGCATATATACGTGAATACGCATGCACAGATTAATGCCAATCGCATGAGTGCGACTCGCGCGACTGGCAATGGAGGGAGGAGCCGCTGGAGGAGGGCTGTTGGGTGGCTTTTTATTTTTAAAGCTTGCTTCAATTTTGACACATTGAATTTGAGAACTTGTAAAGATAATAGAGGTCCATGTTGGAGATTAGTAGCATATATCTCATGCAAACTTGAGAAGTCAGGATTAAATAATGCTTGAATAATGGTAGGCGCATGCATGCCACGTGTTTTAGCACGCAAATGAAAATCTATATTTGGGTGTATATGACATATGGTGACCCAGTTTTCTACTCAGCACACTCACTGAGAATAAGGAAAAAAAACACTATAAAATGCCCACTCGCCCTGTCGATGATACTGAGGACCACTTCCACAGCCTAAGGGAAGGACCATTGGACCACCAATCATTCCCCGGCCACTTCCCGCTACCCTCTAGTCAACTAAGAGGGGGACAAATGACTTTTACCCAAAACCCAAAAAGAAAAGAAATAATTGCATAAATATCAACAGGAATGTAACCCAATGAATTTTGTTGACAATGTGCTTTAATTTCAGTAATTAATAGTTTTTATTTTTATTTAAATACAAGCAATAGTCTAAACTACAAAAAGGTGTCATGGAGATTCGAACTTAAGACTACTAATCTGCAAATTAAGGTCCTTTTCCACTGAACTACACCCTTAATAGCATATTTTATTAGAGAGAGAGAGAGAGAGAGAGAGAGAGAGAGAGAGAGAGAGAGAGAGAGAGAGAGAGAGAGAGAGAGAGAGAACCTGTAAGCAATGGTGAGATGGTGGAGGAGGATGAGCATCTCAAGCTTGGCCAGTTCATTGCCTGGACAAGAATGCACGCCATTCCCGAACGGCATGAAAGTGTTTGGTTTTGGTGGCACCTGCACTATCACACAATTAGTCACCAAACCCAGCTAAAGAATCACTTCAACCATCCATCACTAATTTATACAAAACCTTGATTATTTTCTCATGAGTTTCTTCTGCCACATATGTATAATTCTATAGACTTTCTAGCTAAGAAAAACCAACCAATTAAATATATGTATATGTTACATATTAGTGTCAATATCTTAAGACAAATTATCATTTAGTCTAATGACAGAAAGTCGCCTTTTTGTTGTTGGTTGAAATATGTAATTTATGGACGATAGTTATTGATAAATAAATAAATAAATTACTAGCCTACCAAAAAAAAAAAAAACCAGGTCACATGACTTGATACTTAGAAAGATATTCATGACTCAGATCCTCTTAAGTAGAGGAAGATTCATATATAACAATGAAAATGACAGGACCAAGATAATCCAGCGATTGATAACCTTATGTTTCTGCCAAAACAAGATAAAATATAACAGTGCTGCATGACCCACTTGTTGAATCTTGCCCAGTGACACAGTACTGGTCACACACAGAGATGAGAGAGATGAGAGAAAGGGAGGATATTATTAATAATATCATACCATGAATAATATTATAATTTCTTTGGCTAAGGTTTTACCTCAAATCTTGAAGGGTCAAATTTTTCGGGATGAGGGAAGAAATCTGCACAGTGATGAATGCTTCTGAATAGAGGCAGCACCTTCCAACCTTTAGGGATAAAATAACCCTCAAACTCCACGTCTTCCATTGCTTCTCTGAATGTGAACGACAGTATACTTGCTGTTCTTAGAGTTTCTTGAATCACCTGAGATATTTATCAGTTCACTTCAATCATTCTGCCCTATATATATTTCTTGTCAGAATATTTTGTTAATTCAATTCATTAACATAATTCACCGGCAATATAAAGCATTTGACTTGTAAGTTGTAACATAAATCTTTTCAGGATGTTAGTTTATTAGACTGTCGTATCAATCTGAATATCTTTAATCAAATAAATTTTAATTTGCATATGTGATTCGAGTTGATAGTGTAACAACATAACATAACACGTACAACAACATACCCGACTTGTTAAAGGCATGTGTCTAGTATCATCCCACGTAAGCCCACGATTCTCAGCGAATAATTTGCGTCGAATTCCTTCTTGTTCTCTCTAAAAGATCAACTTGTCAGTCTCTGTGTGTTTTTCTTTTTTCAAAGAATTAAGAAGAGAAAATTAATATTACAGTGACAGCTTCTAGGAGATCGGCATTATCGTGCAGATATTTGATGAGCCATGTTAGGATACTTGCAGTAGTGTCATGAGCGGCAAAGATAACCCCAATGATATTGTCAGCAATTTGAGAATCACTAAGCTGCAGGTTAGGCTTATTCTGGTCCTTTCCCAACAGTACTCTCAGCAAGCCACCACTTTCTTCCTCATCACTCTTCCTTCTCTTCGCTATCAATCCCCTCAATGTCTCATTGAGAAGCTTCCTTGCCTACTCCATAAAAACACGAAATTCACAAAAACATATTTAAAAGTTCAATTATTTAGGGCCCGTTGATAATCAATACATAGCATGTATGCTCAGGTCCAATCCACTGTATGTGCTTTAAGACCAAATTAAGGTGAGCTTATGACATGTCTTAAATTCCAATGCTGTTGTAAAGAAATTAAAAACGTCCAATGTCCAATGAAATTGATTGAATTTGGAAAATTGGGTGGACCACAAAAATAAAATATATACATATATTTTTTTATATATCACCTTCATGGCTTTGTGAAAAGGAGTTCCAGGTAGATCAAGAGGCATAGAATTATAGCCCTTCTCAAGGCATTGATACAGATGTTTAATTCCTTCCATTTCAAAGTCCCTATTGTTGCCGAAGGCTGAAATCATTGCCACATCAAAAGCAAACTGGCAGGCCAAGCCAAGAAAAGGAACAAACTCTAAGATTCCAAATGACTCAGAGTCATGCAAGAAAAGTCAAAATAAATTATACCAACAAAACTGACAGATACATATATATTTTACCCTCTTCATCTCTTGCAAAGTGTTGATGCTGCTGTTTTCCCAAGTGGGTAGAAGCCTCAGAACAATTTGCTCAATCTCTGAAACTGACCCTTTTATTGCACAGGGCAAAAGGGCAGCCTGAACCAGCTTCTTCAGACTTGCATGGTAGGCCCCTTGGTGGAAAAATATGGCTTCTGGTCCTATCATTCTCTCTTTGCTTCTTGGATAAGTTGGTTTAAACAGATGCGCCCGGCTCACAAGAACCATTCTTGCTGCTACTGGGCTTGTAATCATCACACAGGGGCACCCCAAAACATGGGTCTTAAATATATTTCCATACCTACAAAAATAAAATGAAAAATAAATCAATGAACTATATTTCCATTCCTCTCTCACATAAACTCATTACATGTCAATCATGTAGCGAGATTATATACAACTGTTGTATATAAGAATTATATATGCACTAACTATGATACAATTAAAATAAGAAACGTGTTTGATAAAAAATAAAAATAAAAATAGAAAAAAGCTAGCTAGGATGAACTAGGAAATGAAGAAAATTGCAAGGCAAAGTGGGGGTGGGGTTTCTGGTGGTTGAATTGAGTACCGTTTTTGCCTGCTGGAGAAGAATGAATTTGGGTTTTCAGTGTAAAGCCTGAGAGTCTCTCCAATATAAGGCCAGCCCATTGAGCCAGGGGGCAGGCGCTTGTGTTTGGGGTGGCGCCATTGGAGGACCAGGCCTAAGAGCAGAAGGGCTGGAATCAAAAGAAGAACAAAATCAGACTGTGAAAAAGGTGGTGTTAATAATGATGAGCAGAAAAGTTGCATGGTTGTGAAGTGGCGATGGGTTTGAGAGGGAAATGAAGAGGTGGCGTTGGGTGGGTTGAACAAGTAGCTATAGCGGGGGTGACAGTGAAGCAAGAAGGGTGAATAAATGGAATGGTGGGTTGGTTTTTATAATGGTGTATGGAGAGAGAGTTGTAGGTGGGGAGGTTTTTGGGACAGGCGTCACTAGTTTTATGGGAACACCTTACTATGGCCCCTGTTTTTTTTTTTTTCCTCTTTTAGGGTCATCCCCACCCTCCTTTACCCCCACCTTGTCTATTCGTATCGATGGGACACATATAAATAGGGTACCGACTATCAATTTACAATATATGTAACACATGATTTTGATAAAAAATTTGTTTCTCTAATATCGCTTGAAAACCAAGCAATTTTTTTTTACCTTCGTAATTTTCAAATGGACAGGCCTAGACCTACAATAGCTGATCCAAGTTGCAGCCACAAATCTTGTTTAGCCAACTCGTGGCCTCATACGTGGAAGAATCTCAGGTTGGTTTGTGCGACTGAGCCATCACTCCGTACAAATTTTAGCACCAACTGCGGGCCACCGTCCTCTTTTTCTCTCTCTCTTCCTCCTCTAAGTGTATGTTTGGCTCTTTGCCCTCCCCACTTCTTTGTTTTTCTGGGTTTCTATTTTTCTCTCATCTCATGCCATTTTAGGCAAAACCCTTCTCTAAGCTAATTTGCTTGCACTCTCGCTCGATTGACAAGTCATTGTTTGCCTTCCACGTACACCAACAAACACACCCATTTTGTGCATGTAATGAAGCACAGCTTTCAACACATGGGCATGCTGACAGGATACCCAACATTTCCTTTTTCTATACCTCAATTCAAAAACTCACGATTTCCATTCCTCGTCAGAAAAGGCAAAAGACTTGAACCTGAAAAAACAGAGAGAAACGGCAAAGAGATTTTAAAAAAGAAAAAGAATACTTTTTAATTGTTAGTGAATTTCGTAAGTAACCGTCGGCCGTTGATAATTCCGTGTTATTTCACAGTGCAGATAAATCAGAATTTGACCGTTTCACTAATTATATATTAATTTTGATGGAATTGCGGTGGTGATTAAGTTGATAAAAAGAAAGTTATTAAGTAAAAAGAAAAGGTATGAGATGATAAGTTTTGTAACCTAATTAATCCAAGCAAAGCAATACACGTGGGTGGTGTCTGGTTTTCAGTTTTCCTTAAACCAAGTGCCTGCCTTGCCTTGTAACCACAGTCACACAGAGAGAGAGAGAGAGAGAGAGAGAGATGGCTGTGGGCTGTGGGCTGTGGCCCTCTCCTCTGTGCTGTGGGTGCCGCCCTCATTGCTCACGTTAGTCTTGTTCCAAAAATTTGACACTGTTCGCACGTGTCTACCCCCACGTCATAGCTGGCCTCAGCTACTCTCCCCAAACGTGTACCATCACCTCCACTCCACATTCATATAAAATTAAAAATAAAAGTTTATATTTTCTGATATAAACAAAATAAATATTACCTCATATTTCAGGAGGAGTGAGTTTACCAAAATCCATTTTTTTCCATCTTTTAAGTGGCACTAGAAACACAAGATATACATACGTGATGGCAATAGGTTTTATCCTTATTTATAGAGAATTTTTGTTGGACATTGACTCTTAATTCATTTATTTTATTTTTTATACAACCAATATTATTATTAAGAGAGAGAGAAATAGAACTTAAGACCTCGAGTGGTGGGATAAATGCTAACCACCCTTGACATATTGATGCACGAGAAGCTATAATTTAATTTAATGTCTTTTATGTAAACTTATGTAGAGAAAAAGTTTTAAAGTTGAGTTTATATGTATATAATTTTCACACACAAAATAAAAAACCATTTTATTTTGCATACTTATATAGTTTACACAAATTTAACCACTCTTTTGGGTTCACCTTACTATTTAGTTTTTATGTGACTTTTTGACTCTTGTTTGTTCAACTCATAAAATATCATGGGATGGAAATTGGAATTTGGAATGGATGCATGGAAATTAAATGCGGCGGGCGGGTGGCCGCAAGAAAATCCCAACACGTCATTACTCCAAGATGGACTATCCAAAGGACCTCAATTCTCCAAGCATCTCGACGGCTATGATTTACCCACCTGCCCCACTCCTTGAGATCATCGCCCAGATTTGATTCTCTGCTCCCTTTACGTGTCTAAATCTCGGTGGCTGCTTGTCGGGTTTTTCCCTCGATTGCACCGTAAATGTCAATGCACTCGCGGCCGGCATTAACGGCGAAGCCGCGTTTGTGGGTCCCATTTCTTTTCCCTCACCATTGATTTGAGATTGAGATGATATGCGCACCTTTGTCAACAGAATCACAAATAAATATACCATTAAGCTATGCGTTTTGAATCGTGCAGGCTTGTTTTTTGAGGATCTGGGCATTTGTAAATGCACTGTTTACAAGTGTCAACTTAGGGTATTGGGACCCAAAAAAAAAAAACCTTAGGGTATTGGGTGGGACCACAATATCTGTTAGATCGTCTTTGATAGTTCAGTCATCAGACTGGACGGCCATGATCTGTCATAATCATTGAATTATAGTTTTATAGTAAAGCCTCAATGTTCAAAGCTCCAAAATTCAAAATGGTGTGCTCCTTATTGACCTACCACATATGTAGTCATTAAGATGGTAGAATTAAAGGAGTTTTTGCTAGAAGCATTTGTCATGTCATGTGTTGTTTTTCTTTAATAATAGTTATAAAGTTTCTAGAGTTTATTGAACAAACTAGACCAAAACTCAAAAGAAAGAAGAACTGCCGTATCTTCCTCCTGAACATTACATAGAGAGCGCCAACTAGTTACTCTATGACCAACAAACTAATAAGAAGCAGATCTATCATGATCAAGCGACAACACTTCAAAGAGCAACCCCGCAAGATGAGAGACAACCAAAGCTAACCCAGATACGAGACAATAGATTTGTCAAAGGAAGAATAGATTGATATAGGTCAACCAAAAATTGGAGAACACTAAGGATTCAATGGGATATGGTGGAAACCTCCTAGTTATGAAGCTCTCTCTCTTTCTCTCTCTCTTTCGGGTTAGTGGATTTTGTATCAAGTAAAAAATTAGTTTCGTTGTCACCCTAAAGAAAAATACATTTCAATATATGATGTGTCTCCTATGTGAAAATTTTCTAGCTCTACCACTGCTTTTAAGGCAAGTCTAATTCTCATTGATCTATTACATATATAGTCATCATGATTCGGCGGTATCGATAGAGTTTGGTGTTAGACTTTGCCATCTTTGCCAACGTGAGCGATTATGGGTATAATTTGTGTGGACCGAACAGTCCGTTTCACATTGTCAAAAGTAACAGAAAATATATAACGTTCACATGCATGTGGGTGATTATGAATTCTTGGTCAGTATTTGTCCGACAAAGTAAATATTGGTTTTGCTGTGAGTAAAGTAAGTTGCCAATAAATGCATGACAATTGTTGAATTACCTGAATCCAACATTTTGTTTTACATAAGAAAAAGTTAAAGAAAGTACATAACGCTTACACGTACGCAAGTAGCTGACGTTATGATTGTTTCTCATGATGAAAAATGGAAGTTGCTTTTTGGACTTGTATTCGATTGTCTCTCTTTGAATAGTTTCTATTTTGTATCTGGACATCAATATATTTGTATATATTAATCGAATTTGACTATTTTACCAACGGGATATTTTTCATGTGGACTTAGTCATTAGCTTGTCGGAGAATATAGGGATTTTTCTTTCATTCATATTGAATAAATCAATGACTTGTTATCTTCGTTCTTAAATGTCATCCACATTTCCCATGTGGATTTCTGATTGTTCATATCAATGAAAAAGGCATTGAAAATTGTTTTATGCGGGTTAAATGCCTTTTTGTTGGTTTTTGATGTTTTAATTTGTGGTTCAAGAACATTATTTTTATATTATACTGTATTGATTTTAGCTAGATTTGTTCATATTTGTTTTCTGTTAGTTTTCTGGGCGATACTTTTGCCCGGCTTTATTTATACTGTTCTCTACCCTTTTAGGGATTTGCAATGAATTGCAACTTCGACAAAAAAAAAAACAACAATGCTTGATTATTTCTTTGCCAACTCATGACTTTCCTTAAGTGGTATATATATATATATATCCAAAGTCCTTAAAAAAAATCAGAGATATTTTTGGAAGTGTAAACGTTATCAGTTTGCTTGCAGCATGATTGGTACATAGTGCTATTCCAATGTTAATTCAATAGATTCTTTTCAAACATTTCGTAGAGTTCTTGGGTCATCTCAAATTGGAGATTTTTTAATGATCCATATATACATTGAACCAATTGACGAGTAATAGTGCTATCCATACGTATGAATGATTAAATAGATATGATTTAGAAATCAACTGACATGTGTACGTTGAAGATTCCTTAATCACAACGGGATGGACAAAGAGATGCACATAAATATATAATGATTTTAAAGACAATGCTCTCACTTAATGTGTGACATTGCTTGTGCTTGTACTTTTTCTTAATTTGTGTGTTTTTTTAACAAACGATAGTCTAAACTATAAGGAGGAAAGAAGGTTTCTCACACACACACACTACCGAGATGTCATGGGAATTCGAGTAGGTTACACTCCATTGGCTTCTTAAGCTGTGTATAAAGCTTGTATTAATGTTAATGAAACACAAAAATTATATATATACTAAAATTGAATCCATGATTTCACTGTTCCAAGACTGTAGCTTAGGGATAGTGAAGTGACGATTTTGCCCTTCATTTTATTGTTGTTACACGTTTTGTTTTCTCTTCCTCACAGTGAATTTCCGAACATGCCCTCCACTTAATCTTTTCTGCTCTTACCTTTTTGCCCCTTCTCCTTCAGCATTTCTTCCCCAACGAACGATGCGTTCACTCAGAGCAGGAGTTCATCGTTGATTTCGAACTAGCTGGTTGGGGGGCAACGATGAAAGATTTCTGTTCTCTCTTGGAGATGCTTTGGTGGCCGTTGATTTTCGTTTGGGGAGGCGAGCTGCGAATCCAGCGGCTCTTTCGATTTATGAAATTGTCTGTTCGTTGTGATATTTTTCACAGATTCTTCTACAACCTTCAGGCATCTTCTATCTCTCTTGGCTGCGAATTCTTGCATCATTTGTCTTCGGGTATGCATCAGCTCACC